AGGAGAAAGAAAGAGAAAGAAAGAGAGAGAGAGAAAGAAAGAAAGAAAAAAAAAAGATAGAAAGAAAAAAAGAAACTATAGGCGAAAGCCATATGCTTGTTTAAGGACATTTTTGAATTGTCCTCAAAAGCGGCTTCACCAAATTACCATCCAGGGCATATAAGATACTCATTTCTCTGTATCCTCACTAACAGGCTCTCATGAAGCATTGGTGGAAATGCTCTCATTCTGATACATTAATGACTAAAAGTCATTACATACTTGCTTAGGTTGTAAATTGCCTCCCTCTAAACTTACACAGAGAGAATTTAGGGTGTTGTCTCAGCTTGGTTCCAGTGTTATCCAAGCCATTAACCTTTCTTTTACCTTAGATGGTCACATTGTGGTATTTCACTTAAAAAACAGAAACACAACTGGGTATTATTTTTATAGGCTGTTAAAATCTGACTTTTGCAAACCATGGGTTTGCTGTGCTGTTATGCTGAATGAATTAGGTGCATAATACTAGTTTTTAAAAATGAATTTCATACTAGATACACCTTGAAAAGTTTTTCCAAAGCTATAAGAAGAGAAATATGATGCCATTGTTCCAAAGAAAGGTTTTAAAAGTAAATTTCTACTTAATGAATAGGACAGTGTACCCTAACCTCCTCTTTGCCTATTCCTCAGGGACCTCTTCTCACAAGGGCTAATGCTTCACCTAAGCCGTGAAAAGCCTGCTGTGAGCACTCCCTGTTCAGTCAGAAAAACACAAATTAACTGTTCTATTTTTTTCAGTTCTAGCACAGCGTTCTCTTGCTTTTCCTTGCTCAGAATGGACCCTTGCTGGGGTAACATCAGAATGAGGGTTTGGTGCAACCGTTCTACAAGAGGAAGTAGGCTCCTCTACTGTCATGGTTTTCAAACTTTTTTGACTGCAGCCCATAACAAGAAATAATGTTTTTCATTGTAACCCAGTAGATATACTCATAGAGACACACGATATTCATAAAAACAAAAATTTCATAAACAATGTTTAAACTTATGTGTTAATAACATGTATCCTGTTATTTGATCTGTTTTATTTCTTTTTAAGAAATGCTCATCACAGTCAACAAAAATGATTTCACAACTCCTTAAAGGATTTTGACCCACAATAATTTGAAAAACACTGCATTGTAGTGCATTTTAGATCTCTTCCCAACCCTCAGAATCAGATTTATTTCATGATGGCCCCTGTGAGATAGCTTCAAGCATGTGAGTGACTCTTTTTCTTTTTTTTTCTTTACCATTTACTGTGACTCCCAAATAAGTGACTCTTTTGGCTTATTTGGTGATCATGCCTATTTCTACACATAGAACCTAGAGCATTTACATCAGACCTGACTAAAGCTTGTGTTTTAACCTTGCTTCTCTCCTTCTATTTATTATTTTTTTAATTATTTTTTTCTATTGCTATTTGTTCAACCTGTATTTCAGGCAATATACAGGTATTGAGGCACCAATGGTGAGTACAAGCAAGCATGCATCCAGAGGTATATTGGGAATTAAAGGAGTTAATCCAAAAGCATACAGGAAATATTTTTAAATTGTTATAAATTCTGTGAATAAGTGTATGGCAATGCATGTCACAGGGGAACCGGATTTAATATGGCATGTTGGAAAAGCTTCTGTGAGAAGTGACACTTGAGCTGAGACTTGAAAGGTGAAAAGATTATAACCAGGCACTGGGCAACATCATGAGTGCAAGCACAGGTCACACCATATCACAAACTTCTAAGGCTGAAGGGAACATGAATTGCTAGTTGGAGAATGGAAGGAAAAGATCTTCAAGATAAAGCTGGAAAAATAAACAGGGCCAGACCTAACAGGTTTCTGTAGACCTTGGAAAGAGGTAGAGGTTTTTCGAGGTTGGATAACATGATAAAACTCACATTTTAAAAATATAACTGCAGAGTGGAGAATGGATTTGAGCGGTCCAAGATTATGCAGACAGAGCTATGAATAGCCTATTGCAATGGTCTGGGTCAGGCATGATGGAGTAGGGTGGAATAGGGTGATGATCTTTTGTTAGTTATCTTCCTTACTGAGCACACTTTGCAATGAATTTCAAATGCACTGGGACCAGGCTTGTTAATTTTGGAGCTGTCGACTCAAATAAATAAGCCATGATACCCCACCAAAGAAAGCTGCAGAAATGCAACAGCGAGGCTGTGTGATGAATGGTTGAGGTACAGGGAAGCTCTTATTCATTTTAAAAAATCAGATGATATGAAGTTGAATATTCTAGATATTGCCCAATTGTGTTATGTTCACATATTTTACTGGATATAGTTTGGGATAATAAAATATTTATCTTCTTTCCCTCTAAGAATTAAGAATCTGTAATGGAGGGCTTTAGCTCTGATGTGCCAAAGGAGAAAGATGATTTTTAAGAGCCAAACCTGCCTCCATGATTAAATAAATTTACATTTATACTGGCCAAGGGATGCATGTTGCCTCTTGCCTGAGCCTCCTGACTTTGATTAATAATCCCTTGCACATTCAAACCGGTATTAACTTGCCATACCTGGCACCTTTATCACTTTGTTCTTTGAATAAAAAGAGCTTAACCCAAGTCCCAGTAAAGATGTTCATTCAGGCTCAATTTAATAAATATATTCTGCTCCCTTGGAGTTAAATGGAATCATAGGAGAAGAGTCCACTGGTCTGTCACCAGGTTTCTGAACTACGCCTGACAGCCTAACATAGCCAACAGCAGGGAGTAAATCCTATCTGTTCTGTATGCTAACCTACTCTGAGTAGGTAGTTTGCATTGGCATCTAGTTATGTTTATGGTTAGTACTATCTTCTCCTGACTTTGGTACCCAACCCTCACACACCTCATTATCTTATCCCAGCTACCACTCATCCCAAAAGGCCTTGCTCACATCCCACAATCAATCATTCTTTCTATTACCTTAGTGGAGAACAGCCTAAGGTGCAGCACGTCCCAGGCATGATTACAGTTTAACCAGTTCAATATTGTTTACTGCATGGCCTGTAAAATACAGTGAATATCACTTGTGTTGCTGCAGTTGGAAGGTTTATGTATCAAATTGCCTAGATCCAAGGACCTTTCCTCGTGCCTAATACACCTATGACAGAAATGACCAGCCAGTCATTGATTGAAATGAAGAATAATGTCTTCCAAAAGACAATGATACCAAGCATATGTTTCTCAGGATTTTACAAAGCACTTTCTGTGTTTTTGTCTAAATTCCTCCAAGAGCTTAATTTCTGACATATTCTGTGTAAATCAGTCTTCAGTGATAAACAAAATTTTATTTATTAAATTATCAGGTGCGGTTAGTGTTCATTAGAATGTTACCACCTTAGATTAATACTTCATTGAATTTCTTTTCTTTTGTTTGTAGGTACCCGTTTTCTCCTTTAGCACAATAGTAATTATAAAGAAGAAAATATACTAAGTGCATTTCTCCTGTCATTGATATTCTACGTTTATTCCTCAGCAAATAATTTGTCGCTACGAAGTGATGTGCATCCCTGGGTGCTGCTTGCAGGCACTTAATTCTTTGATTCAAATGAAGCTTTAAAATGTGACCTCCATGATGTTATGTCTAAAGAAACATGTCAAAGCAGTGTTGACACAGAGAACTTGACTGTGACTAGAAATCATGGCTGTGCTTTGAGGGAAACAATAAATCACAGCAGTAGGAATGCATTTTTACAAGCTGCTGATTGTGTACAGCAGGGGCCAATTCTGTTCTGTGTCTCATGATCTCTTCTAATTCCTCAGCCCGATACTCCTTCATGTGTGAAGTCCATGTTTGATCCTGCCTATTCAGTGACTGTGGGTCACTGCAGATTCATGCACAGGCTCCTGTTATGGGAATCTGGCCCCTGCCACCTTCTCCAGATGCAAGCTTTCCTCTCATACCTGTCGTTCCAGCAAATCCAGGCTATTCTCTTTTCCCCACTTACACTAGGTTCCTTCCATTGTCTGCGCTTGCCTGCTTGCTACTTTTCTCTGGTATTTTTCAAATTTTACTTTTGCACCTGGAAAACGCTTTGGCACTATCGTTTGTCAGTTATTTAACTTCGTACATTTCCTCATGTGAATGGAAGCATGGGAGCAGCATCATGAGGAAGGACTGGGGTCGCACTTGCAGAATGTGTCAGAGCCCACAGATTCACTCAATAGAAACATCAGGAGATATTAGCGTTATTTTTTAGTTAGTACTATTATCACCATTCCTCAAAATTGAGCTCTGGTTTCACCTCTATTGAGAAGCTTCCCCTTACCTCGCCATTTCAAAGACAGAGTTAATTACTTCCTCGTACTGTATGCTTACTTCTTTATTGCCCTTCTTATATGTTTTTCTTATCATTAATGTGGGACATGATTTGCTATAATGTTGCTGGGCAATGACATTGTTAGTATGGAAAAATAGGCATGAGAACGATTCAAGGAGTTCCGCAACTCATGCTTTATGGGCCTCCTGCAAAATATGGTTAGGATGTGACCATTGGTGATAAATGGATAACTTGGGATCTCTTTATTTTCTGCGTTTTATTGCTATGTGAGCAAACAGTTAATGAGTGCTTACTGTATATCAAGCATGACAATAAGTATTACATTTATCATGTTAAGTCTTCCATGTGATTAAATGTGGTAGATATTATTCTCATGTGATACATGAGGAAACAAAAGGTCTAAGACCATAGAGCTAGTGATAGACTACCTACTCCCAAAGTCTAAGCTCTTAGCTCAAGAACACTCTGCTCTGATCTGTAGGGTCTCATTTGTCTCTGGGGTCCTTTAATGTGTAAATATATTTGATAAGTTTTCTCTTCTAATGCTATTCCAGGTATTCCTTCCAAGATGAGGAAGACATGTTCATGGTGGTGGACCTCCTGTTGGGTGGAGACCTGCGTTATCACCTGCAACAGAATGTCCGCTTCAAGGAAGAAACAGTGAAGCTCTTCATCTGTGAGTTGGTCATGGCCCTGGACTACCTGCAGAGCCAGCGCATCATTCACAGGTCAGTCAAGTCCAAGGAGACAGCCATAAACTCAACGCAAGGAGAGAATCCACAACTGGATACAATCATTAAATTCTTGTTGAACATGACATTTAATCCTCATTTAATTCTTCCAACAGTGCCCTGAGATAGGTTGATTATCCTCATTTTGCAGACTTTTTTAAAACACTGAACACATAGAGCTTGATTTGCCCAAGGTCATAGTAAACAACAAGATCACAATCAATAAATATTAGCAGTATTTTATAACTAAGCTTAGATGTAGAGGAGAAAAGGTGGCCAATAGGAACTTAATGCAAATTAAATAAATAATTAAATGGAGGTAGCACATGGAGGGAAAGAAATAGAATGAAAAGAAACAAAGTTCTTTGGGAAGAAAGTTTGAGTCTTTCTAACATTTGCTGTCCTGCAGTGTTTATTAAATGAATCCCCAATATGTATACTGTAAATGGAGGTAGAAAAAGAAATAGCAATGTCTTCTGCAGTTAGAGCATTTGTAGTAAATAAAGACGTACAAATAACATAAGAGGCCATAAAGCTATAGAGATAATAGAAGAAGATAAAACTTTATAGTAAAGAAATTTATAGTTTTAGTGATTATTTTATATATAGTATCTCATTTGATCTCTGAAATAACCTGAGGTAAATGATCAGAGCAGATATAATTAGACTAAAATTACATATGAAAAAATAACAGCTTATATATATTATCACCCAGGTTTGTTTATAAGAATTGTGATCCTAATCAACATCAAAACAACTACTGTTTACTGGTTGATGACTTACTACGTGCCAGGCACTGCTAGGTGCTTTATGTACATTATTTTATTAAATACTCAAAACCCAGCCAAGATTCCACATTTTGTTATAATATTCCACATTTGTTATAATATAAAATTACACAGACAAAGAAACCGTCTCAATTGCCAAGAACAAACAGCGTAGCCAGGATTTAAACCTAGATCCCTCTGACCTCCAACTTATAACTCTATGATACCAACTCCTATTACTTACACATATGAAATATATGAATTAATTGATTATATTTCACTAAATGAAAAATCAGTCCATGTGACTCTGCTGCTGTCATCTCTAATCCTTGGAGAATTTGCTGAGTACAATTATGTCTCAATTAGTAAAAAGTTGACCAGATAAAATATTTCACCACCACCAGTTAACATTTACCTGTAATTAATTTTTTTAAACCTTTATTCATATATTTTTTATAGAAATGGGGTTTCACCATATTGCCCAGGCTGGTCTCCAACTTTTGGTCCCAAGTGGTCCTCCTGTCCCAACCTCCCCAAATGCTGGGATTATAGGAGCGAGCCACTGTACTCAGCCTACAATTTATCTTGATGAGTACAGAGCCTATGGATGAAGGTGAAGCATCACAATTCCTCTGTGCAGGTACTACAGGCCAGTTCTTTAATATATTTTTATTTTTTTGGCCTTGGCCCTACACATTAAATAGTTATTATTTTATGTTCCTTCTTTGGAAGGGCCTGTTTGTATTGGAAATGTGCTCTTCAGGCACCAGATAAATGGAAAGCAGACCAGTTAATCATGTGGGATCTCAGAAATGAATTTGCACACCTGGTGTTTTGTCAATAACTAGAAATCCTGTTCTCAAGCACTTAGCTTCCCAAACTGGTTTTCTGGTCCCTCAAAGCTCTTTCTGAGGAGAGACTCTTCACACTTGTAGTCTACAGAGTCCCTCTCAAAACTTTCATACTCATTCATTTGCCCCAAAATTGCCAACCACAGCCTATCTTGGTTGTGACATCACAGGTATCAGAAAGGAGGCAGTGGCCATGAGAAACCAGTATGGCCTGAGGCTTTTTACTCTCTTTCCTTTTGCTGTTTGAAATTGGGTTCTGTTCCTTTGTTCTTTAGGCTTCATGTTCTTGGCCATCAAAAGACTGATTCTCTGAGCATTTTCACCGTGTGTTCAGAACTGTGTTTCAACAGGAATTCAGCAGGGAAAAACAACAGCAAAAATTTTGATATGATTTTTCCCCAAGGAGCTTACTAACACCAAATACTGTTTTTCTGTTCTTTCCCTCTCTTTTGTTCCCATCATATTTTGCCACTTAAATAATAAAACAAGGATTAACTTTCTGGTTTGTTTTTTTTTTTTTTGCTCTTCAGTCACACCCACCGTTATTACTTACTGCCTGTCCTCAGAAGGGTCTTTTTGTACCGAAATGTCTCTTCACCGTGGTAAATGAATGGAAGGCAAACATGATGACATTTTGAGAGCAGTGTTAAATTGAGGTGGCTTCCTTCTGGCATCAAAAACTATTCAAGTGCATTTCTGTGGCCTATATGTACCTCTCCCCCTACCTCCCAGGTGTTATATTTTACAGGCTATAATAGCCTTTTGTACCTTTCCTGAGAAGATGTGACATTTTAATTATTTCTTAATTATTTAATTCATTTCTGTCTCCTTTGCAAAATGGTGCACTCCACGTGTTTTGCTTTTTATTGTATAACTAGGATGTGAAACAAATATGACCCACATGAATGGCTGATTGACCAGAAGCTCAGGCTTACAAATGAGAAAGATTGAAATATAGGACATTAAAGCCAAAGGTCTCAGACCTACTTCTACCTTGGTCTTTACATTAGAGTAATCATTAATTTATCATCCAAACCAGGATACTCTGAGAGCTAAAGAGGATGCTATTAGTATTAATAATTGTGCTGGGGAGAGTCAAAACTCATACATAATCTGGGCAATTGAGGACCTATGTCAACATAATAAAGGCTTTTCAAGGCAGCGTTTTTTTGTTTTTTATTTTTTGTAGGGACAGGGTCTCCCTATGTTGCCCAGGCTGGCCTTGAACTCACAGGCTCAAGCAATCCTCCTGGCTCAGCCTCCCAAAGTTCTGGGATTACAGACCTGACCCTCATGCCCAGCTTCAAATAGACATTTTAATTCTAACAGTGTTCTGATAACCAGGATTTTCTGCTCTCAGAATATCAGGTATCAATTTGAAATGGTGTCAAACAGCTTTGTTTTAAATGTACATGTTAAAAGAAGCAGTGATTTCTTCGTCTAAGGAATTTAAATGATAATAACTGTGGCAATCTGAGACTAGGGCTCCTGGGCCAGAGAATGCAAAAAGCAATGTAGAAGAGACACAGGCTTCTGAATACTGTACTTCTTTTTTTTAAATCTCCTTCTTCAAAAGAATCAGCACGATTCATGCTGTATTTGACTTCAAGATAACAAAACACCTTTTTGTTACTTAGAAAGATTGGATTGTAAAGCGCATGCTGAGTTCCTAGAAATTAAAAGCGAGAATGAATAAAAGAATCAATGAAAATGTAGATCTCCCAGACAAGGAGAGACCATCTCCATAAAACTGAAGACATAAAATATGTGACTTCCTACTTTTAGATTAAAATCTACATTTTGCCTTTGGACGTGGTAGAAGATTCAAAATTACCCATAAACAGTCAGCAATACTTGGAAGCAGGCGCAGCAGTAGGCTGCTGTTTACTGAGGGCTTCCTGGGTATCAGGCACTTTGCTAAGCACTTGTGAATTATTTCACTTAGTCTTCCCTTAGCTGCAGGAGGTTGATGGTGCTTTGTCCCCATCTCACCATCAATTAAACTGGTTCTGAAAAATTATTTGCCTCAGGTTGCCTGGCTAGTAAGTGAGGGAAGCATCATGTTAAGGAAATGCAGAGCTCTTCACCACTCTCCAGCCTGCAGATGCTCAGCATAGCTGCAGCTCTGAAGGGAGCATGGGACAGGTATGTGTGGCCATCTGACTCAGGCACCCACAGACAGAAGTGGTACCTGTGGAACGGACAGACAGAGAACAGCCTAAAAGTAGAAGCTAAATTGTGTAACAGACAAGTACTTCAGAGAAGATGGTTTGGAGTAACAAAACAAGCTTCATGAGAGCTCTGAGGGTGTAAAGGGGACTTTCAACAGTCAAAGCACACAGCAAGTCTAGTCTAGCAAGAAGAGCTAAGTGGATGAAAGTTCTGACTTGTTTCCCTGTGTTAACATAGAAAGGGCTCTTTTTAAAATTTTGTTTTCACTTCAGCTTTTCTGCCAAAAATGTCTAGTGTGGTGATGTTTTAAAACACACCATAGGATCTGTTTCTACCATAAATCTCCATTAAGACATATATGGAGTTTTGTTTTATTTTGTGGATGTTTAACAATCCATGGACTTGAACTTTGGTAGTTTCCCAAATATGTAGAATATTTAGCTAGTTCTCTTCAATTTCAGAATCTTTCTTTGCTACAGTTGTTAAAGACACAGGGTTGTATAATAACTATTAAGTGTGAATTGTGCAATTAGACAACTTTCTTGTTAGTCAAGATGTCAAACTTTTTGTGTGAGTACGGCTTGAAAATCAGCTTTAGTTTCCAAAGTATGGCCAGTTTGAAGTGTAATATTCTGTTTTCCTTACTTGAAATCTGCAAATAAATGCTTTAAAATATGGGCCAAGTAATTATTTGCTTTTATTTAAAAATAAGAAAAACAAAACTCATTACAGTCTCTTCTGTGGGGGTAGTACTATTCTATTTGTTGATTGCTGAAGTCTCTCCGAAGAATAATCTGATGGAAAGTAATCATTTAATATAATAATCCAAAGACAAATTTCTGTTTACTCCCTTGTTAGATCTTAAAGAAGTCTCAATTATGAATTTAAGCTAATGAGATGGATTGTATGGGACATTTAAATAGTCATCTTGGATCAAAGTGCCATTTGAGTGGGTGGTTGATTGTTTTTCTTTCTTTCTGAGAATTACCCCCCACTATAATGTAGTTATAGCTCACTGTTTTCTAAACTTTCATGGGAAGGAGATAAAAATCTAATTAGGGCAATTTGTGTAAGTAATTGCAGTGCAACGGAGAGATTTGCAAACATTTCCCGTTAAGTACTGAAATGTTGAAGAGAAATAAAAGAAAATTTATGGCTGTCTAGAAAAACACAGGATGGTATTTTTATTTATCACCTTTGCCTTCTT